CAGAATAATTTTGGGTGACTTCAACACACCTCTTTCATCACTAGGTAAATCTTCCAAACAAAATCTGAACAAAGAAACTATAGAACTCAATAATATAATCAATAACTTAGACTTAACTGAGATATAGAGAATATTCTATCCTTCAATGAGAGAATATACTTTCTTCTCAACAGCAGATGGATCTTTCTCTAAAATAGACCATATACTGTGCCACAAAGCAACTCTTAGCAAATATAAAAAAGTAGAGATACTACCCTGTATTCTATCAGATCATAATAAACTGAAATTAGGAATCAATAATAAAATAAGAAATAAAAGCCACTCCAACACCTGGAGACTAAATAATTGCTACTGAATGAACAATGGATTACAGAAGACATTAAACAGGAGATTAAAAAGTTTTTAGAGGTGAATGAGAACACACATAAAACATATCAGAATCTCTGGGACACTATAAAAGCAGTTCTAAGAGGAAATTTCATTGCATGGAGTTCATTCCTTAAAAGAAGAAAAAGTCAATAAATAAATGACTTAACACTACATCTCAAAGCCTTAGCTAAAGAAGAACAATAAACACCAAAAGCAACAGAAGGCAGGAAATGAATGAAATTGAAACAAAAGAAACAATTGAAAAAATTACAGAACAAAAAGTTGGTTCTTTGAAAAAACAAATAAAATTGACAGACCCTTAGCCATGCTGATGAAGAGAAGGAGAGAGAAAACTCAAATTACTAGCATATGTAATGAAAAAGTAAATATCACAACAGACACTACAGAAATACAGAAGATAATTAGAAATTATTTTGAAAATCTGTACTCCAATAAAATAGAAAATATTGAAGGCATCGAAAAATTTCTAGCTTCACATAATTTGCCCAAATTGAATCAGGATGATATACACAATTTAAACAAATCAATTTCAAGTGACGAAATAGCAGATACCATAAAAATCTACCAACCATGAAAAGCCAAGTTCTACAAGACCTTTAAAGAAGAACTAATACCAATATTCTCCAATTTATTTCAGGAAATAGAAAAAGAGGCAGCACTTCCAAACTCATTTTATGAGGCCAATATCACACTGATTTCAAAACCAGGCAAAGACACATCAAAGAAAGAAAATCCAGACCAATATCTCTAATAAACATAGATGCAAAAATTCTCAATAAAATTCTGGCAAATCAGATACAAAAACATATTTAAAAGATTGTGCACCATTATCAAGTAGGATTTATCCCAGGAATGTAAGGTTGCTTCAACATATGGAAATCAATAAATGTATTTCATCACATCAATAGACTCAAAGATAATCATATGATCATCTCAATAGATGCAGAAAAAGCATTTGACAAAACACAGCACCCCTTTATGTTCAAAACACTGGAAAAACTATGGATAACAGGAACATACCTCAACATCATAAAGGCTATCTATGCTAAGCCCCAGGCCAGCATCACTCTAAATGGAGAAAAATTGAAGGCATTCCCACTAAAAACTGGAACAAGACAGGGATGACTACTTTCACCACTTCTATTTAACACAGTTCTTGAAACACTGTCCAGAGCAATTAGAAAAAAAGAAATTAAAGGGATACACATAGGAAAAGAAGAACTCAAATTGGCACTATTTGCTGATGATATGATTCTATACCTGGAAGACCCTAAAAGTTCCACTAGAAAACTCCTAGAACTAGTAAATGAATTCAGCAAAGTTATAGGAGATAAAATCAACACCCATAAATCAAAGGCCTTTCTGAAATAAATCCTCAGAAAGGGAAATGAGGAAAACTATTCCATTTACAATAGCCTCAAAAAAAAAAAAAAAAAACTTAGGAATCAATGAAAGAGGTGAAAGATCTATACAATTAAAAATACAGAACCCTAAAGAAAGAAATCAAAGAAAGACTAGAAGATGGAACGATCTACCTTGCTATTGGATAGGCAGAATTAATATTATCAAAATGACCATACTTCCAAAAGCACTCTACAGATTTAATGCAATTCTGATCAAAATTCCAATGACTTTCCTCATAGATATAGAAAAATCAATCATGAAATTTATCTGGAAAAATAAGGACACAGAAAATGTAAAGCAATCCTTTGCAGGAAGAGTGAAGCAGGTGGCATCGCTAAACCAGACCTTAAACTATACTACAGAGCAATAGCAACAAAGACAGCAGTAACAAAACAGTAATAAAAACAGCACCAAAACAGACTGATAGATCAATGGTACAGAATAGAGGACACAGAGACTAACCCACAAAACTACAATTATCTTATATTAGACAAAGGTGCCAAAAGCATGCATTGGAGAAAAGATAGTCTCTTCAACAAATGGTGCTGGGAAAACTGGAAATCCATATGAAACAAAATGAAATTAAACCCCTAACTCTCACCATGCACAAAACTCTATTCAAAATGGAATACAACCAGAGACCCTTCGTTTAATAGAAGAAAAAGTAGGCCCTAATCTCCATCATGTGGGATTAGGCCCCAACTTCCTAAATAAGACTCCTTGGCACAAGAATTAAAATCAAGAATCAATAAATGGGATGAATTCAAATTAAAAAGTTTCTTCTCAGCAAAAGAAACAATCTGTGAGGTGAATAGATAGCCTACATCTTGGGAACAAATCTTTACCTCTCACACATCAGATAGAGCACTAATCACTAGGGTATAAAAAGATCTCAAACAGCTAAACACCAATAAATAAATAAATAACCCAAATAATAAATGGGCCAAGGACCTGAAGAGACACTTCTCAGAAGATGTACAATAAATCAACAAATATAAGAAAAAATGTTCAACATCACTAGCAATTAGAGAAATGCAAATCATTTCATCTCATTCCAGTCAGAATGGCAGCTATTATGAACACAAACAACTACAGTGTTGATGAGGATGTGGGGGAAAACGTACACTCATACATTGCTGGTGGGACTGCAAATTGGTGCAGCCAATATGGAAAGTAGTATGGAGATTTCTTGGAAAACTTAGAATGGAACCACCATTCAACCCAGCTATCCCTCTCATCGATCTATACCCAAAGGACTTAAAAACAGCACATGGGATACATCAATGTTTATAGCAGAACAATTCACAATAGCTAAACTGTAGAACCAATCTAGATGCCCTTCAATAGATGAATAGATTTAAAAAATGTGGTTTATACACAATGGAATATTACTCAGCAATAAAAGAGAATAAAATCATGGTAAATGGATGGAGTTAGAGAAGATAATGCTAAGTGAAGTTAGCCAATCCCAAAAAACCAAATGCTGAATGTTTTCTTTGATATAAGGAGGCTGATTCATAGTCGGATAGGGAGCAGGAGCATGGGAGAAATAGATGAACTCTAGATAGAGCAGAGGGGTTGGAGTGGGAGGGAGGGGGCATGGGGTAATTAATGATGTTAGAATGTGATGATCATTACTATCCAAAGTACAAGTATGAAGACACAAATTGGTGTGAATATACTATGTATACAACCAAAGATATAAAAAATTGTGCTCTATATATGTAATAAGAATTGTAATGCATTCTGATGTCATATATAAATAAAAATAATTTACATAATAATAAAAAAATAAGTCTTAAGCCTTAGGCTTTAAATCCAACAGATGCACATTCACTCAGATCACAATGAACAGGTCCGGAACCAAGGCAGGCTTTTCCTGGTGTGGAGTGGAAAACTGGTTGAGGAGAGGGTCAGGGTCTTAGGGAGAAGTTGCGGCTCTCACCAAGATCCAGACGAGGTGGTAGAGTTTGAGAGCAGCAAGGATCCTACAGAGGATGAGAATAATGATAACTGATGGGATGTCAGTCCAGGTCCTCATCAGGCTCTCCAGCTCAAGTGCATCCTTGTTTTGGCTGGCTGAATCTCTGTTCATCAGCTCTACTATTTATAGTGAATTTTAGGGCTTTTGATCCCCCTTTCAGTCCTTATCAGCTACCACCGGATTTCTTCATGATATCATTTACCCTTGGGTCAGAAACATCTGGTCTGGTGGTCTCCACCCTGATCTTTTTGCCTTTCTCTTCTTATCAGGGGAGGACAGCCTGCCAGAGGCTTCACTCTGTTTTATCAGGGTGAGGGAAAGTAACTTGTTTGAGGCCATACTGGAGGGATATGTTGAATGTGCCTGGGGAGACTTCAGGTTTCAAAATGGAGTTTTAAAAATGGAGTTGTTTAGGCTCAGGCCTAAGGTCATCCTCACATAATCATACTTCTAACTATTCATGCTTCCTTCCTTCCATCTATCCATCCATCCCTCCACCTACCTCCTTATCTGCACATCTGTCTATTTGTCCACCCAGTGGGCCAAAACAAAAACCCAATGAATCAACATGAAGGGAAATCTCCAAGAGGTTAAGTTCTATACTAGGCTCTGGGCATCTAAAATTAAATAACATCCACCCCTGTTCTCACTTAAGATAGTTCATAGGCTAGGAGACTGCTTATACCAGAGAAGTTTTGACATGTGCAGGACTTTGATGTTTCTCATGGCCCTTGGTTCAGTGTGGTTTGTGTCCTTATGATGAGATCAGGGTGGGGCCCTTGGTTCAGCTTGGCTTGTTCCCTTATAAGGAGATGAGGGCAGGGCCCTTGGTTCAGGGTGGTGTTTTGTCCTTATAAGGGGATAAGGGCCGGCCCTGGTTCAGCTTGACTTTTTCCTTATAAGGTAAAAAGGGTGGGCTTGGTTCAGCATGGCCATTGTGAGGGAATTTCAAAGAGCAGGTATATAAGAGAGTGGCCACCACTGGGTTTTTGTCCATATGTACAGGAAGCTCTTGGTGGTGACCTGTCGGACTCCCAGATAGTTAGTGCGTTTTGTGGTGGTTGGTGGCTGGTGGCTGGTGGTTGGTGGTTGTGGTCTTCTGGGTTTTTTGATTTGATTTTTTTTTTCCTTTTGTTTCTTTGCTTTCCTTTTGGGGGCTTTTTTATTTTAGTTATTTGTTTTGGTTTATTATTTTTTTTTAAGCTAGCATCCTCATCCTAAGATGGTGTTCCGTTTTAGGATCAGCAGTGAGAGTAGTGAGAGCAGTGTAGAGAGACCAGGGCCGGGCTCCTATGAGCCTGCCATCACCGACCATTATGAACTTCTGCGGGACATTGGGGAAGGGGGCTTCGGGAAGGTGAAACTTGCCCGCCATCGCCTCACGGGGACAGAGGTTGTGGTGAAGGTTGTGCCAAAAGTAGGCTGGAACCGCCCCTTCCTGTCTGAACCCCTTATGATGGGGGGCTTGGATCACCCAAACGTGATCCGACTCTTCCAGGTCATTGAGACCCTCAAATATATGTACATTATCATGGAGCATGCAGGTGGGGGACATCTAAGGAGCCTCATCTCGGAACCTGGTGGCATGCCTGAGGAGGAGGCCCGCAGACTCTTCAGGCAGATGGTGCGTGCTGTGCAGTACTGCCATGAGAAGGGCATCGCACACCTGGACCTCAAGCCCGAAAACTTCGTGCTGGATGCCAGTGGTACCGTGAAACTCATTGACTTTGGCCTGAGCACCAGATTCACAGCCGGGCAGAAGCTGAGCAGGTTCTGGGGCACTCTCCAATACTTTGCTCCAGAAGTTGTCCGTAGGGAGGAATACGAGGGCCCCCTGGCGGACATCTGGAGCCTGGGGGTGGTTCTCTATGTCATGCTGACAGGGAGCCGCCCCTTTATAGCAAACAGTGTTGGGGAGGTGAGGAGGCTGATCATGGAGGGAGCCTATGGCATTCCTGCACATGTTTCCAAGGGAGCTCAGAGCCTCATCCTTGAGATTCTGAAGATGGACCCCAGGCAGAGGCCCAGCCTAAAACAGATAATGAGCCACCCATGGCTGAGCCAGGGCAAGGAAGATTCACCCCGTCCTTCTGGCGAGGCCCTCCCCACCCACCCGGATCCTGCCATTATAACAACTATGTTCGACATGGGTTACGACCCCTATAACATCTGGGTGTCCCTGTCAAATAAGAAATACGATGATGCCATGGCTACCTACCTCTTGCTCAAGTGCCAGAGAACCCAGGGGGTGGGTTGCACATGCCAGGAGAAGCCCGTGCAGCCTGGGGTGGTAGGGCCTCGCCCAGCCCCTGCAGATCCTCCTAGGGCCGACCCCAGGAAGTGCTCCAGTGAGCCTGCCCTTCGCTTGCCCTGTGAGCAGCAGAAGCAGCCAGAGGAGGCCAAGCTGTCTCTGCAGAAGGGTGGTGGCAGTGCCAGCGTGCCTGGCATTCGTCTCCGCTTTTTCCACGTGGACACACCCCCTCCCAGCCTAGCCTCCCAGCACCACCCTATACCCAGCACAACCGACCCCTCCAGCCTCAGTAGGGAGATCACAGAGGACCACAGCTCCTCCTCCCAAGCTACCTCCACAGAGCCAACCCACCACTGCATCAGGGGTTGGAGGAGGGTGAGGAAGCGTATTGTCTCCTGCCTTCGACAGCTGTGTTTCATCCCATGCTTCAGTCAGTCATTGTTCAGGAGCACAGTGGTTCCAGTGGAAATCCCCAGCCAAGACCAACAGAACCAATGAGCAGCCCGAAGACCAAGGTGTGCCAACAGGTTTTCAGGCAGGAGTGCATCTGGGTCCACCAGGAGTCTCCTCTGCCCCCACCTGCGAAGATAACTCATAGAGACTTTGCCTTGGGTCACGTCCCCCTGTCCTGCTCTTTGTCCTGCTGTTTCTGGTCACTGCCAAATAAGAAATTTATTCTTATTTTTTTTCCACAAATTGTACAATAAAAATGTTTCAAAGATTGAAAAAAAGCAATTGTGTGTGTGTGTGTGTGTTTTAAGAAGGAAGATTTAGGGCAAAGCCAGAGACCAGCACTCAAGGCATGGACCACTATGCCTCCCTCTCCCAACCAGTGTGGATATTTGCTCACCTTGAGCCAGTGTTGATAGACTCACTTTTCTTGAGCCAATGTAGGTGGGGACTTGCTCCCCTTGAGCTTGTGTAGACTAGATTCACTTTGAGCTAGTCATTTTGGCTAGAGAAAATCCTTTTTGTGATCTTCAGACCTTCCCTGAAGTGTGTGGGGAAGGTGGGTTGCAGCTGTTGAAGACACCCATGGCAAGGCATTGGAAACTGTAGAATGTTCTATGGCTTCATCTCCATAATCCCATGTACAGGGAAGCAAGAGCTGGGCAGTGCATAGGGGCAAGCCTGCCTACAGCAGTGGCTGGGTGTCTCACCACATGCCAGCCATCCTTCCCACCTTCTGGTCACTAACAGTGACCACATGGATTTGGGGAGCAGAAGTGTGAAATCTCAGGGATGCTACTTACATGAAAGCACTGCACCCATGTGGATTACCCCTTGGGTTCTGTTAACTTTTTTTTTTTTTTTTTTTTTTTTTGTATAATCAAGTGCACACAAAGTAGTAAAAAAGCTTATGTTAGGACAGGAGGTTTTGTGCATCTTGCAGCCCTGGCATCTCTGCAGCTCTGGGACTGTTACCACAATCCCCTCAACTGACCCAGAACACTTGTAAAAGGGAAACCCAAACTCCTTGCCCCAAGTCTCCTCCTTTCAGCCTGAATCAGCCAGAGGAATCATAGCCCACATCCCTTTACAGCAGCAAGAATTCTCTTAATTAGAGGGGGATTGACAACAGGGCAAAAAGACAGTGTAGATGATGAGTGAGTCAGGAAGACCGTGCTGATTCAAAAGGTAATAAAATGCTAATACCTCCAGAGTACTTCCCCCTCCTCCTACTTGTTGCCAAGGTCACCTGCATCCAGGGAATTCTTCCTCCCAGCAAGGAGTAGTTAATGAATGCCTCCCTAGGCAGCTCCCTTCCTGCCTCTCTGGGTAGAGATGGAAAAAATGGAGAAGTACCCCTGAAAGGCTCCCTTCTCACCTTTGATCATGAAAGCAAGGTAAGAGTAAGAGGGGGATGTGAAAAGAAAGGAAACCTGAAATCTATAAAAGGGGAAAGACACCCCCACTTTTGGGCACCAGCTCTGGTATGTAACCCCTCCTCTCCTCAGGACTCCCTCTCTCCCCCTCTCTGATACCTCTTCTATCCTGTAAATATTTTTTTTTCTTTTTTGCTCTTGCCTGGGTGTTGTTCAATGTTCAACACTGGGAGAATGGATCTTGATACTGATTTTCAAGACTGGTTTCAATTATGCCCTGTTTTAGTCAACTTTTTCACTGCTGTGACTAAAAGACTTGACAAGAACATTAGAGGAAGAAAGTTTATTTGGGGGCTCACATTTTTAGAGCTCTCAGTCCACTGAGTGCTGGCTCCCTTTCCCAGAACTTGAAGTGAGTCAGAACATCATGGTGGAGAGTGTGGTTGAGGGAATTGATGACCAGGAAGCAGAGATAAAGCTCTGATTAACAAGAACAAAATATAAAGTCCAAAGGCATGCCCCTAGGTACCCACCACCTCAAGCCACACCCTATCTGCCCACAGTTACCTAGTTGATCCCTCTAAGGGGGATTATTTCACTGATTGGAATACGGTTCTCATAACAAAATTGTTTTATCCAAATTTTCTTAAATTTTGTCACTCATGAGCTTTTGGGAGACACCTCATATCTAAACCATAACACCATGGATTGAAACAGAAACCCCTAGAAACATCAGAGGATTTATCAAGTTTGAAGATTAACCCTTAGTTTTGTAGAAGTAAACGAAGAGGTGATAGTGGGTGACTCCTCGGCCTAGAGATATACTCTCCTGGCTGGACATTGTATCCTCTAGGAAACTAAGTAGTGCTGAGGCTTGAGCTACATTTCCTCTCGTGAGTCAGAATCTTTGAGGGTGGAGTGAAAGCATCCAGAAGTTTTCATTCTGGATCTGATTCTTATGAGCAGCCACCCCTAGTAAGTGTGATCATCAAGTGGGATCTGAAGATTCTCTGGGTAGAGTTCTACAGCGCCCTCCCTGCTCTGCCTTGGGCAGCTCCCTTCTGCCATCCTCAGTACTCAGCAGATAAAATGGGGCTGGGTTAGCAGGTGGCCAGAGGGTTGCTGGGTGGTGAGCCTTCCTCCCTCTACCCTAGAGATGATAGAGTGTAGAGCTAAATGGTTTTGCATTAAGGGGCCCTTTTTGTAGCTGATCCCAGGGACAGCTGAGAACAACCTAATAACCATATTCGATTTTCCGATTTTCCGTCTCTAAAAAGCCTGCTTTGCTTTGAGTCAGTTCTCCCCCCACCCCCCTCTAAATTATAAAAGGAATCAGATTTTCTCTCTCAAATTTCATTTGAATGTTTTTCAAGAGCAAAACATTCTGAGGTACCGGAGGAAGTTAGTCATAAAGAGATTCAGGAAATGTGTTTTATCAGTTTCGTTGATATTCAAGTAAATTCAGAGTCAGATTTGGAGGGAGAATAGAAATGTTTCCTTTATACTGAAGCACTGCATGTAGAAGCTTCAACCGAGATCATTATAAATTAATGTTATATTTTGGGATTATATGTTTTTTTAATAAAGAAATAAAGAAAAGGGAAGCCAAGCCAGGCTAGTTACATCTCTGGATTCAGCCCGCTGTACCAAAAAAGGTTGAAAGCCAAGGGAAAGAGGCTCAAGTGGCAAATGCACTGAGGTTGGAAACCTATTACTAATTCAGGAGCAAGTGCATTAAGAGAGCTTCAGAGCAGCAGTCCCGTCAGATGCAATTAAAGAGCTGCACATGGAAACAGCCTCTTCATAATTTATGGAGCAATTTCACTTTCTTTTTGGGGAGAAGGTTTCTTATGGATAGAAATTTGTCCTTGTGAGTGAATTGTTAGGAATACCAATTATGTGTTTTACTATTTGATTTTATAGATATTCCTGGTTAAGTTGTGAAAGTGTGTAGCTGATCAAAATCTGATTTCACCATCTTCTCATGGTGTTGTTTTCAATACCTCCAGTCTTGTGAAATGTGGGTTGATAAAAAGCAAAGTTTATGAGGAATTTCTTCTTTCATGTTCAAAATAGCTCTAAGTCCAACCCCCCCTCCAAAGAAACAAATAAACCAAACTTTTAATTTTGATACAGGGAAAGCAACATTTACTTTTTAAGTGGTGTTTCATGTTCTCTGCTATTAACTAAAAAAAAGAAAATTTTCCTGTTAACACTCTCTGGGAAAACAAATTACTTCATTTACAAGGGAAAGGAGTCAAGTGTGGCATATACCTATAATATTAGTGGCTCAGGAGGCTGAGGCAGGAGGATCGCAAGTTCAAAGCCAGCCTCAGCAACTTAGAAAGGTCCTAAGCAACTTAGAAAACTCCTGTGTCAAAATAACAAATAATAATAATAAAACAGGCCGGGATATGGCTCGTGATAAAGTGCATCTGGGTTCAATCCCTGATACCAAAAAAAAAAAAAAAAAAAAAAAGATAAGAAAAGGAAAAGGAGTAGGGATTTGGCTAGGGATCTCTTATCCACCACATAGCTTGTAGCATGTAAGTATATACTCTCATATTACATTAGTTCAGTTCTCAGGCAGGACAAAAAAAATAAAAATTATAAATGGAAAATAATGAAAAGTATATATGATATTTGAAATTAGAAAAATTCTAAATAGTTGTTTTTCTCCTAATGACTAATTATTCCATAAAAGGATGGAGTCAGTCTCTCAATAAAAAAATATCCTAAGAAACTAAAAGTAACCCCCAAAAGAAGACACTTAGGGAAAAGTACTTGGCCTTCCAAAAATTTATATTTGGGACTATCTCATAGAAAGATTCTCAAACACCCTTGTCTTTTTGTATCCAAGGAGATATATATATATATATATATATATATATATATATATATATGAATTATGCTTCTAAAACAGACATGAAAATCAATGAATATAATAGAAAGCTACTAGAAAGTTGAAATCAATAAGATATACATGGGGAACTGAAAATCAGGCATGAAATAGTCACAGAATTTGGACCTTAACTTTTCCCTGCTGCCACCAGTAGTGGAAATGGCCTAGAAACGGCCATAGCAAGAGATGTGTGGGTTTATGAAAGGATCTCCTAAGTAGACTAAAACTAGCTTCCTTACCAAAAACGTTAGGAGTCAAGATTCTGGTGTTCTGCAACAAGGCAGATGTCAGCATCCAGGAAGAAGCAGAGTGCTTTCAGTAGGAGATTCTCAGTAGTAAATATTGAATTTGGTGTGCCATCCCAATCCAAAGAGCAATTTAAAAAATTGAACTGAAGTTCAGGAGAGTGATTGTTCTAAAGATTGGTTAGCAAAAATTGGGTTGCTGAAAACATGATAGTGGATTAGATCCCTAGGTTGGGATGATGTGGTGACCGAAATAGAGATTCAAGACTGGGTTTAGAATCAATTCAAATTCAGGGGTACGTAGGAAAGAAAAGAAACAGTATCAAGACTGATCTCTTCATAGCTCTTAATTCAGTAATTCAATATACATTTGAAGCTCAGATACAGATTCACTTACAAAATTGAATTATTTTTATATTGGATGGGGAGGATCCCCTTAAAGACTTAATGCTAATCACTACCTAATTTTCTCTCTTTTTCTCCCTCTCTCTTTGTACAACAGTTCACATGTTCTTGCTCTTTGTT